TTTAAAGTTCAAATGATGAGAGGGGGGAAAAAAGCAGGAGAATGGGAAGTGTGAAGTTTATGGAGTTTCGTTCTACGCCCACATGGGCCTCAGAGGCGTCCTAAAGGAGTGGGTGGGGCGTGGGGAAGAAACAGTCTCTACTTTCCTTTATTGGATGCAGCTTTTAGCTGGTCACATTGCAACTCGTTACAAAGAGCCCAGCAGAGGGGAGGGCATCACCGTGTGTTCTCATCAATGTAAACACAACATTAATATTGAAGAGTAAAGAAAATGGGTCAGAAGTCCAGTGTCCTTGACCTGGGTTGTAGTGGTGGCGGTGCTGCTGACCTCTGGGGGCAGGCCCCAAAGGGAGACAAAGGATGTGACCGCTTCTTATGCACAGTGAAGCAGGTTCCTTACAGAGGGACAAAACTGTGTCGCTCTCCAAATGATCCCCGAATCTTCAGCCCTGGGCGCGTATGAACTACTAAAGTTCTCCTAAAGGCCTGAGAGGTGCGTACCTTTCTTGTGCTGAAACAGTTCCTTCAAAGCTCTTGTCATCACTTCCCCTTCATTGCTGACACAGAAAGATGTGACCAGTGGAAACACCTGCCCACAGCCTGAGCTTGCCCGTGGCCCCGAGTGTCACCCCTGGATTCAGGAGAGCCGGAAGTCTGGAACCCCTGGATCTTCAGGAGTGTCCCTGAAGAGAGAGGGAGCTGCCCAAGTTCAACTACTGGCTGTGGACCCCTGTCCTTGCCGGGCCACTGGTGACAGAGGAGCATTAACTAAGTAGCTGATGTTCCTTTAGAATCAGAAAGGATTAGCTTTTCTATTTTGGATTTCCAGACCAAAACAAACAAATAAACACCCCCCCCTCAAAAAAAAACAAAAAACAACCCAACAACAAATCAAACAAAACAAGAGTGACTTTGAGGATAAAGAACCAGCCACCACTGTATCTGGGTGCCCCAGATGGACTATCCCCAGCTGGTTTCTCCCCAGGGTTGGCTTAGATTCGTGCTTTGGCCTCCTCTTGGGTACCCATCTAGACTGCAGGGCAAAGGAAGTTCCCTCTTAATAAAGAGAAGTAACTCCCAGCATTCTGACTTTGCTTCCTCCTCAGCTGTGATGGGAAGTATAGCTACTATTGACCAAGATGGGTATCCAGGAGATTTGCCTTGGGCCTTGATTGTGTGTTTTTGTGGCACGGTGGCAATCTCATGACTCCTTGACCCTCCACACCCCATTCCTGAAGAGATAGCTTAAATGGTCTTTCCCTACAAACCCCCATCCCCCATTCTGCGAATGGTAGGTCGTGGGGCAAAGAGGGCCTGGCGGAAACCTCATTCCAGATGGCTGGAGTGAGGGCAGCTTTGTTGGGCCAAAGAGACAAGTGAAAACAAACTGGAAAAGCATTGCTCAACACTGAGTCTGAAGGCTGGGCCCCCAACAGTGAGTGGCTCTCCTCCTGCAGCATGTCTCTCTCCAGGGGAGGGCAACGTGGTGCTAGCTGTTGTTTTCAGCCGTGAGATATTTCAGGGCGGCGAAGCCATAGCGGCGGGACATGTCCTGCTGAAACTCCTCCTTCAGGGTTTTGAGACAGATGCGGTATTGCTTGTTGGAACGGAACTTGGTAATGTCAAAGCTGGGGGCGTGAGGCATGTGGATCATGTAGGCGTTGGGCAGCACGGTGAATTCGTATTCCTGAAAGAAGACAAGAGCAGTGTGAGCACTTCAGAGGAATCCTCGTCCCTGCAAGGTGAGAACCCCAGTGGAGGATTGAGTCAATGAACGAACTGGTCAGTGATCCCAAGACCCAAGGCAGGACCACTGAAAGCATGCCAGCTGTGAAGCGAGACGGTTTGGGGCCATGGCTATGGCCCTGGACAAATGACTTAGTTTCTCTGAGTCTTGGTTTTCTCATCCATGTTTTTGTTGCTGTTATGTGCCATCGAGTAGCTTGGACTCATAGCGACCCTATGTACAAGAGCTCTAAATGCCATTCTATCCTGTGCCAACCTCACCATTTCAAACACACTCATTCCCATCACTCCACTCACAGAATCGATCCATCTCATTGAAGGTCTTCCTCTCCTGTGCTGCCCCTCCATGCTGGCAAATTTGATGCCCCTCTCCATAAATAAAAAAATAAATAGTGACTTTCAAAGATTACTTTAAGGGTGAAATACGGCTCAAAGCCTATAAAAGGTTCATCTTTTTTGGGTGACCCTGGAGGACATTATGCTGAGAGAAGTATCTCAGTCACAAAGGGACAAATACTGCATGGTGCCACTGTAGTAAAACAGGACTGACATCGGAGTTGGGGAGAGACTGAGAAAGATGGGTTCAATAATGTATACTGCATTGAAACAGATGAAGGAGAGAACTGTTTAAAAGGGATATGTGATTAGGTATTTTTGTCATGACAGGAGTCCAGAGTGAAGGCTGCATAGTGGAGTGGACCTGGGGAGAGGGATTGTAAAACAATGAAAGAATTTTTCTTTTACTTTTCCAAGAGGGTAGTGTACTAGGGGGGAGGGTTGGGAGGGGAGAAAAGTGCAACAATGAATGAATGGAAATCCAAAGTCTCTGTACATTTTCACTGAAATTATTAATACATTTTTTTTAAAAAAGGCTCATCTTTTTTTTAGATTTTTAAAAAATTGGTATACTTACAATTCTGTAATCTTATCGATTCTGTGATTGGGGTGGTGGGTGTAAGTGTGTCAGAGACGGTGAGGTTGGCACAGAATAGAGCAGAGTTGGGGCTCTTGTACATAGGGTCACTATGAGTCGCAAAGGACTCAACAGCATATAACAATAACAAGATGCTTACAAAGTTTATATACATTGCTTCACACTATTCTTCCTTCACATTATATAAAAGATTTTCGATAAATGTGGCAAAACATTACCACCAAGTTGATTCGGATGCAAAGCTTGCCTACAAGTAGAGCTGTAACATAGGGACAGAGCAGAACGACCTATTTACATTCCAAACGCTATACATTTTTTCAGGGAAGAAGACTGCTGTATCTTCTCCCCATGGAGTTAGACCTGTCAAATTTGTAGTTAGCAGCTGAGGAGCTTAACCACGGTGCTACCAGGGATTCTCTAGGTCTTCCAGGATGGTGCAGACCATGAGTGCGTCTCATGCTCAGTCAACTTGACCCATCTGTTCTGTGATGTCTCATGGGACTTGCATGAGACCAGACAACTCCAGGAGATCACAACAAAAGAGTAATTTTAAGGAAAATCAACCTGGTCAACATCGACAATAAAATTTACCAAAAAACCCAAAACAAAACAGAGAACAAGCATAGGGAGAAAATAAAAATGGATGCTCCAAAGGACGCCAGTTTTTGTTTCAACACTTTCATATCAGCTAAAAGGCAGAAACAACCGAGATGTCCATCAACAGATGAGTGGATAAATAAAAGGTGGTGGGTTGTTTTGTTTTGTTTTTATGCATCATCGAGTCAAAACCGACTCCTAGCTGGTCCTCCAGCGGGTTTTCAGAGGCTGTAATCAACATGGGAAGAGACTGACCATCTTTTTCTGGCAGTTCAGTTGGTGGATTTGAACTATACGCCTTTGGATTGGCAGCGCAACACCTTACCACTAATCTACCAGAGCTCCTTTAAAAGGTGGTAGACACACATTATGGGGAGTGCAGTCAGCCACTCACACGAGGACAAATCCTGTAGGATCTCACTCCTAGGCAACATCTAGAATAGACGAACACATAGAGAGAGTTCACCAGTGTTTACCAGAGCAGGCGGTGGGAGAATGGAGAGGTCACTGGAATATCTGTTTAATAAGGGAGGTATACTGGTAATGGATTCATGATATGATAAATGTAGCCAGGGTGACTGAATGTAAAGAACACTGTGGTGAATGTTGTCTTATAGTATCTTTTCACTATAAACACTAAACATAGTAAAAAGCCAATAAACAAACTTTTCCCCCCAAACCCCAAACAATAGATTAGGCTGACGCTTACTGAGAATTTAACTCTCCCCTATACATCCTTGATGTAGTGACTGGGGTAACGGTGTGTCAGACACAGTGAGCCTGGCTGATAGGGTTCAAAGCTAATGTGCATAAGGTCACTAGGAGTCAGTGGCAGGCAATTCGGTGACACATAACAATAGCAACAGTATATCTTTATTATAAGCTACACCATGGACTTGGCATCAGGCAGTTAAAAATGGTGGTAGAAACCAAGATGCCTCTGCATATCTCAAAAAAGAGTCCGGTGGAGTGGTGGGTAATGTTTGCTTAATAAAAGATAAAAGGTCAGCTGTTTGAATACAACGAGTGTCCTGCAGAGGAATGACAGACAGTCTCCTTCTACAAAGACTCAGACCCTCAAAAACACACGTTTGAGTTTCTTTTGAATTGAAACGGACTCAAAGGCAGTGGTTTTAGGGGGAAATTTTTTTTTTAATAGACATAAGGTCACTATGAGTTGCAGGCGATTCGACAGCAACACATCCAAAAAAAGTCTTAGTAGAGAGCATTAAAAACACTTAGCTGTTAAATGAAAGGACGTTGGTTCAATCCCACTAGCTGGGCTATAGGAGAAGGATGTGGCATCTGCTTCCATGACGATTTATGGCCTACAGGCAAACGGACTGGGAGGTTGTGGTGTGTTCACACAGTGGCATACTTAGTGGCGCTGAGGAGCAGCGATTTTGTGGCATGCTGTATGGTGTGGGAGAGTCTGGGGAGCGCTGTGCGGGGTGGGCTAAGTGAAGGATGTTGCATGGGACCACTGTTGTGGAAACAGAAGGATAGCTAGTAAGATGTGTATAAAAGCCCCAAAGGGGAAGGGGGACGCGGTGGGGGGCTGGAGTGTGAGGAGGTGGGGGTAAATCACTGGGATAGCAGAGCTTGGTGGGTGGAAGGAGGGGGTGAAAGAACGAGGAAAAATCCAATGGGGATCTGAAAACAGGGTAATAGTAGGCATAGATTAATGGTGATTAATGTTAAAAGGCACAATGTATATGAATGATCATACAAAACACAATGTGAATGAAGGGATGTGTGAAGCACAATGTACACGAATGAAACACACTGCATATTAATTTTTTATGTAAACCAGTGTTGTTGTTGTTAAGTGCGGTCGAGTCGTAGGCGACTCATAGCGACCCTATGAATGAAAGTCCTCAACACTTGTGTGAATTTCATCTTTGCTCCAGGTTCATAGGGTTTCTGGAGGCAAGCTATTTATGGAAGTGGATGCCACTCTTGCTTCCAAGCTTGTTTTAATCGGGGAGCTCCACCAAACACTGTCCACCATGGGTAACCATTATTGCATGTGACACACCAGTGTCACAGTGTTCAGTTTCGCAGCAACCACGATTTATCTCTGTACAGCAAGTGGACACACCAGGGCTATATGACCTAGAAGAATGTTTGAACAAACACAATGAAAAACAGGCCTGAGGGCTGCGGATTAGAAGTCACCCATCTTTGGCTTGGTGGCATCACTTTCTCTCCACTAGGCCAACTGATCTCGCTATGTTGGTGTTATTGTTTTTAAGTGTCATCAAGCTGTTGAGTCGTAGGTGACTCGCAGCGACCCTATGGATGAAAGTCCTCAACACTTGGATATTTATAGCCTTGGAGACCCTACGAGGCAGTTCTGTTCTGTCCTGAAGTATCACTATCATTTGGAATGGGTTATCAAATGGTGATGTGCTTTTGACCTGTATTGTTAAAGTACAGAACAGGGAACTCAGAAAGGAGCCCTCAGCACACCTTGTATCATTCTCTATTTACTCTCATTTTGGCCATAATATCTGATAAGTTATGGTTATCTCATTTTCTAGCCCAGAGCAGATCAGAAGGAAATCAGAAAAGGAAAACTGGGAACAGGGTGCGTAGCTGCTACAGAACAGAGAGAAAAATACTGAAGGGAGCAAGAAACTGAGAAATATTTACACTGTGCACTCTGAATTGCCCAGGAGATTAGCATATAAGGGGGAAAGATGAAGTTGGTGGTAGCAGGCAGGCCAGGCGTTGGGAAACTATCATCCCACCCACAGTCTGCTTTTGTAAATAAAGTCTCACCGGGACACAGCCATGCCCATTTGTTTACGGATCACCAAGTCTACTTTCATAATACAATAGCTGAGCTGAGCAGTGCTGACAGGAGACTGCATGGGGAGTCACAAAGCTGAATATACTTATTGTATGACCTTTTGCAGAAAAAAGTCTGACAAACCTTGTGAAACACAATATATATGAACTTTGTAAGCAAAACAAACAAACAAACAAAAAAGACTTGAAGTTATCCTCAATAAGTACTAGGTGAAAAGGTTTTATTGACTAAATCAAAATCCCAAAACCTAAATTATCTGCAGTCCAGTTGATTCTGACCCATGGCGACCCTCCGTTGACTTTCTGAGGCCATCAACCAGCCTTATTTGGGAGTGTCCTGCCTTACAGTTCTCCCACAGAGCAACTAGTGGATTCGAACTGCTAATCTTTTGGTTAGCAGCCCAACACGTAAACCATTGCACTGTCACAGTCCTAGGCTGGCACAGGAGTTTGGTCTTAACTGTACGCATTGCGCCATTCATGTGAAGCTCCTACACTGCTCCGTCACCTATATGACTCAGAGGCCAGCGGTGGAGAGTTGCCATTTGCTTGTCTTTATTGCTGGGCTGGACGTGAATGAAACGAAACACTGGTTTGTCTCACATTTGACAGGGCTCTTGGAATCCCACATCACCTAAAGGTGGAGCTAGAGTTTGATAACAACAGTATTGCGTAAGAAGGTGAGCACTGGTACCTTCCTACTCCAGCTCTCTGAACACACTTTGTTCTCTTTGAAGTCTTTGTTTTCTGGTCTCCAAGCTCCCCTATCTCCACTAAGATCTCTGTTGCCCCAACTCCTACACCACCAGTGGGGCAACTCCATGCGTCTCACCTGTGCGTCCAGCTCCATGATATGCGCCACCTTGTTCCAGCCAAAGCCCACAAACCTCCGGTCGTACTCCGGGCAGTCCCTTCTCACGACAACGTAGGGCTCGAAATCAGCCTCCCACTCCACCCGGTAAGGCGTGGTGGCGGTCCGCCACTTGGCGAAGTTCGTGGGGGCGTGGCCTTTCGTCCAGACGTGGTACCTGGGACACACAGAGATATGCCATTGGTGGAGGGAAAGGCGGCAAGCTCAGCAGAGCTGCTGATTGGACGGAAGCAGAGAAACACATCCACCTAGAATGCTGATCTACCTTCTTCACAGAACTATGGCCGGTTGGTCTCTGCTACAGTTGTTCCTGCCAATGACCATGGTGGTAGGTAGAATCCCAAGATGATACCCACTGACCCCAACCTTTGTATCACGACATCCCTAGCCTCCTGGCTGTTCAGAGAATTGATGAATTTGATGAGATATATTCCTGTGACTATGTTATATAGAAAAAAAGAGATTTTTGTAGATAGGACTACGGGTACTAGTTATCCAACTTATAAATAGTTTTGGGTTGGAGCTGGAATTCAAACCCAGTTCAACTAGCTCAAAAACCAGCCAGGCCCCTTCACTGACTAAAGATAGACTATCCTGCCTTTATAACTCTACCTCTCATTCTCTGACCCGTAGAAGCAGCAGTCAATGAATGCTGCATTAAATTAACGAATGAATGAATAATTTTAAAACTTAGGAGCTGCCTGAGGCAGAGACCAGATGGTGGGGCAAGGATATGCTTCTGGAAGCTATTAAGAAGTGGGAAGAAGCTGGGAGTCTGGTGAAGAAATAAATAGGGCCCTAGAGGAAAGGGTTGGGGGGAAATACTATACACAGTTGGAAAGCAAAGTCTCAGAAATGGACATCAAGACAGAAAGAATGTGAATGTAACAGCTTTACTGTAAACAAAACTGTTCCCACTGAGTCCGTTCCTACAGAGATGAGTCTGACTTATTGTGACCCTATGCAGTTGAGAGCAGAACCTAACATTACCGATTTTGAAGGGCTCTGACCTTAAGGAAGTTGAGCTCCAAGCCACTGCTGGTTGGATTTGAACCATCAACCTAGCAGCTAGCAACCAGGAGCTTAACCATCTACATCACCCAGGGACTTCTGTAAGGAGGTTGGAGCTCCAAGTCCTAGATTCCAGCTCTGCCTTTGGAAAGACTCTTCATAACAAGTGAATGTAAAGTGAGGTAAGTATTTGGTGAGGCTAATGAAATTCTTTGCAATCACTTTTTATGCATCAGAGAGTTGGACAATGACCAGGAAGGATAAAAGGATAATTGATGCCTTTGAGCTGTGGTGCTGGAGAAGAGTATTGAGAATACCATGGACTGCTAGGAAAACAAACAGATTTGTCCTAGAAAGGGTTAAACCGGGTGGCTCCTTGGAGGCAAGGATTCTGAGGCTCCGTCTAACTTACTTTGGACATGTTGTGAGGAGAGACCGGTCCTTAGAGAGGGACATCATGTTTGGGAGGGTGGAGGGACGGCGTAGGAGGAGAAGGCCCTTTATGAGGTGGATTGATTCAGTGACTGGGATAATTGGGATGGGAGTCTCGGACACAGTGCGATTGGCACAGGACAGAGCGGAGTTTAGGGCTGTTGTGCATAGGGTCGCTATGAGTTGCAGGCGACTCGATGGCACATAACAACAACAACAACAATGAAATTCAGTTTGGAGAAGAACAGAGGATGTGACAGCTTCCTATTTTGCTTTTTCAACACCCAGGACGGACTCCTTCCAACTCTTAAAGGACAACTGAGATTAGATGAATAGGAGTTAACTAACTGATGGGCTCCCAGGGAGTTTTATTGTTGGATAAAATGACCAGGCTCAGGGAATCTCAGCTCCATCAATCAGCAACTTCCGCCAAAATCCAAGATCACTTAAGCAGAGGAATGAAAGGTCAGGGGGTGGAACTTTAATGGAGGGTGAGAAGGAGGGATGGTACAAAGATGCCAGTCTCGGGTCTAATCCAAAAATCACAACAGAGGGAGTTGATTTTCCATTTGTAAACCGCTGAGCTGACAGTCTTGACATCTGCAGCCTTTGGCAGAACTGGCAGAGCTCAAGTCAAAGTTGTGCTGTATGTGAGCTTTGAAGCATGCCACATGGCACTGACCGTCAGACCAGGGTTCAAATCCCATGGTGACCGCTTATGAGCTGCGACACAATGAAGCTTTATTTCCCTCCTGTAGTAGTGCCCGCCTTGTGGAACGACCAAGAAGCTTAACTTAGCAAAGGTATATGTGGAAGCGTTCATAAATGTTAGCCCTCTAACCAGCAATTTAACAAGGCGGCGCAAAACAACGGTTCTGGAGCCAGCCTGCCTGGGTGTGAATTCTGTCATTCAGTAGATTGTTGTTATTGGTTGCTGTTAAGTATGCTCTGATTGTTAGCAACTCTAGGAACAACAGAACAAAACAACACCCAAAAGTCACTTTTTTTAAATTTTTTTGGCAGGGAATATGACTACTTTCTGATTTTGTTCTTTTGACACCAGAGATAGACTTCCTCCAAGTTGGTAGGACAGGCACCAGCCAACGGGTAGATTTGCATCAAGTTGTGTTGTTAGATGGGATTATGGGGCTGAGGGTTGGGGTGGGGGAGGATCTCAGCTCCATCCACTGAGCATTCACTGCTGCTCCGTTTGCACATTGCTGCGGTCACTGTCCAGTCCAGCTTGACCCGGGTCTGCCTTTTTTTTCTGTTCACTCTATTTTACCAAATGTGGTATCTTTTTCTCCAGGGACTGGCCTCTCCTGATAATAGGACCTAAGGACGTGAGACAGTCTTGCCAGTGTCCCTTCTAATGTCTGCTGTGGCTCCAATTGTCCCAAGACAGTTCCCTCGGCCGTCCATAGTTTATTCAGTGTTTGTCACCAGCATCACAATTCAAAGAAGAATGCAAACTTTTGCTTTGATCTTAATTCACTGCACAATTTACGCTTGCATATAAGGCCAAGTGAAAATATCATGGCTTAGGTCAAGTACCTCCTAATCCTCGAGACCCTAGTTCTAACTTCTAAGAAGGAAGGATAGTGACATCCAGTCAAAGTGACCATCTTTACTTCCTAGAACTTTAAAGGGGTCATTTGCAATACACTTGCCCAAGAGATACATAATACACTGATTTCTTGACATCGTTCCACAGGGATGGGCGGCGAATGTTGCCAACTGGTCTAGTTGTGAGGACTTTTGGTTTCTCTTTGTTGAGATGCAGGAAACTAATTCACAATGATCCCTCTCACCTCTCAACAATATCTTATATTCCTACTCTGGCCTGTTATGTTGAGAAGGAAGGGGAGGGAGGAGGGAGTAAGCAGAGTCAGTGAGGTCAGTGTAGGGACAGCTGTGTTGGTGAAGTTTTATTCCTCAAGGTTTTGATAGCTGGAGGGGAGGCAGCGTCTACTGGCTCAGTCCCAAAGAGTGACCAGCAGGCTGAATCACTAGTCAGCATGGGACCCGGTGAACTTCTCATTAGCCAAATAACCAAATGATCGAGCTGATTCTGATTCACGGCAAGGCTATATGCTACAGAGTAGAACTAACTGAACCTCTCTGGAGACTGAATTTTATTTTAAAAAGTTGCAGAGATAATAACTTGGTTTTCATGCAACCATTAAGTTTTAGAATCCTTTCTCAAACTTTATTTAACTGAGAAGATCTTAGAGTTTTCTTTTCTGTTGCCATGTGCTATCAACTATGACTCATTGCAACCCTATAAACAATGGATTTGAACCCTGCCCTCTCCTGTGCTATCCTCATAATTTCTGATACACTTGAGCCCACTGTTCCACTCAATCTATCAATCCACCTCATTGAGGGTCTTCCTCTCTTTCACTGACCTTCCACCTTTCCAAGAACAACGGCTTTTCCCAAGGACCAGCCCCTCTTAACAACATGCCCAAATTACATGAGACAAAGCTTCACCATCCCTGCCTCCAAGGAGCACTCTGGCTGCACTTTCTCCAATACATATTTATTTTTTTTGGCAATCCATGAGATATTAGGTGGTGTTCTTCAACACCACAACTTACAGGCATTGAGTCTTCCATCATCTGACGTTACTGTCTAACTTTCAGATGCATATCAAGCAATTGAAAAGATCATGGCATGAATCAGATGCACCTTAGTCTTTAAACTGACATCATTGCTCCATAACGCCTTAGATAGCTTCTTGACAGTAGATTTTCCCAATGCTACACATCTTTTGGTTTCTTGCTTGCTGGTGCCAAAGGGTGTTGATTGTGAGTCCAAGCATGATGCAATCATTAACAATGTCAATCTTCTGTCCATCTATCATGAGGTTGCCCAGTGATCAAGCAGTCTTTATAAAAGCAGATTGCCAGGCCTTTCTACCTCATGCCACTGTGTAGATTCAAACTTCTCAGCAGATAAGCATGTACCATTTGCAGCAGTCAGGGACTTAGGCTACAATGAACCTGCCATTAAAACAAATGATGTTGTGAAAATAACCAGAGGGTACTTACGACCAGTCCAGAAGACAATGAAATCTGGGCTTGCAATCGGAGATTACAGGCATCAGATAGTCCCTCTGCCTCCAAAAGCAACCCAAACAACAAACAGCTGCTGTTGTTTACTGTAGTCAAGCTGGTTCTGACTCTGGGAGACCCCATGTGTGCACAGCAGAACTGCACCACAGGGTTTCTAAACCTGTGACCTTCTGGAAGCAGAACACCAGACCTTTACTCCACAATTAGTTCCTGACTGTAAACTCTTTGGCTAGTAGTCAAGTGCTTGGGTTTTATGCTGGAAGTTGTGAAGGTGTCTTGCACCTCAAGGAGGGACAGGTACGGAACGAACGTTAGGCTCTCTGATGCCTTTCTTTTCATCCCAAGTGGGTGTCAGCAGATGGGACTTGCCAGGTGAACTGGGGGTCTGTGGCTAACAGTCCACCAGCTTGTGGGCGTACCAGAATTTTTAAATCCTGAAATGCTTGGCCTCGCCTTCAGGCTGGGGGCTAGCGTGTTGTGAGTCGGTTTGTTTTGGGTCAAACATTCTTCTAGGTGGTATAGCACTGCTCTATTTGCTGCACAGAGGTAACTCATGGTGGCTGTGATGTTGAATGCTGTGACCCTGATGTGCCAAATGTGATATTGGTCACCCATGGCTGACAGTGTTTGGTGGAGCTCCCCGATTAAAACAAGCTTGGAAGCTCGACTGGCATCCACTTCCAAAATAGCTTGCCTCCAGAAACCCTATGAACTTGGAGAAACAAAGAAAGTTCATAGGGTTGCTATGAGTCACCTAAGACTTGAGGACATTTAACAACAACAACAACAACAACAACCAGTCAAGTGCTTACCTGTCTGAGCCACCAAGGACTTTTACGCTTTGAGGAGAGTTTCTCAAATGTGAATGTGCATCTGATTCCCTTGGAAGCTCTCTGAAGCTCACGGTTCTGGTTTCTACTCCCAGAGTTCCTGATGCAGGAGGTCTGAGGTGCAGCCGGAGCCTCTGCATTTCAAACAAGCTACGGGGATGCTGATGCTACTGGTCCAGGGACCCCAAGGAGAACCACGGTCCTCAAGGATGTGCAGTTGGGTTTTTCTCCTTTATTCCTGTGAGGTCAGAGTTGTTCTCAGCTGCTTGGGGGCTTACGGGTTCATTCTTTGGAGGGAAGGGTAGAAAAGCAATTTCTTGGAGGGAAAGTTTGCAATTTAGCTCTTGGCATGGTGGCTTGCAAGCTGTTGGCTCTCGCAGCAATCAGCGACACAGCAGGCCACACCCTAGCACTCATGCCCACTGACTTGACCCTGGAATTAGTGTCCAGGTCACCTGGGGATGCACAGAGCAGGAAGGACATTCTGGAGACCTTCCAGGTGCTCAGTCATCAGGCTACAGAGTCTATGTGGAGAGCTAATTCAAGTTAGGCATCTAAGTCTCAATCTTCAGCTTCAAGTTTTTTTGCCTGCATCTTCCAACAATGTTTGGAAGGGAAATTCAGGGCTAGATCTCATATTCTCTCATTTTCTTTCTCTCTATATCTATCTATCTATCTATCTATCTATCTATCTATCTATCTATCTATCTATCTATCTATCTATCATCTATCTATCTAATCACTGTAGTTAAATCCAAATCAACTCATAGCTAAACCTCCAGCAGGTTTTCAGACGCTGTAAACTGCCCAAAGGTGTTCTGGTTAGTAACATAAGCTCTGGAGATCCACAGACTCTGGCACTTATAGGCTGTATATCTGAGCCAGGTTAACTCTCAGCACCTCTATTTTCCTTATATGTAAAATGGGTTTAATAATCCCTGCTTTGCAGATTTGTTTTTAGGATTAAGTGGTCTGATCACAGCGCCCATACACATTAAGTAGTTCCTAAATTGAGGTTCTTTGTTTTTGACAAGGAAGAAGGCATGCTTTGTATGGGAATTAGCTTCTTCTGATTATTTTCTAGAATTTGGATACAGGAGATAGGACGGCGTTTGAATCCTGACTCCACTTGACCTCTTGCTCTTCAGTTTCTTCATTTGTACAGAATATGGAAATAATGTGATGTCCCCTAAATTGTAAAGAAATAACCTATCTTGTAGGATTCTTTTGATCACCAAATAAAATTTGAGAAAGCATTTTCCAAACTTATAGCAGTTGAGATGCTAAGTTATTATTCTATGACACTTTTAGTAAAACTCAGACTGTCTAGAATTTCTTAAACCAAAGTTGCTGTCCAGTTGATGACAATTCACGGAGATCCTGTGTATTGGAGGAGAACTGTGCTGCATGGGTTGCTCAGGGGCTGACCTTCTGACATAGTTCATTGTCAAGTCTTTCTTCCAAAATGCCTCTGAGTGGATTCGAATCACCAACCCTCTGAGTAGCAGTTAAGCACGTTAACTGATTACCGCATACAGGGGCACCCTGGTTCACAAGGAGGCATGTATTTAGAGAAGCAGGCAGAAACAACAGCTCTGATTGCTCTTTTGAGACAGTCAGCAGGGCTCCCACTTCCCCCCCAGTTGCCACACTAATGCCACAGCCTGTCCCCAGGAGATGGAAGCCAATCACACCTATGTAACCATACGCATTCCTGGGGCACTCTGGACAGGTGGCTGAGCGGCTCCCCTGCTGGTATTCCTGCAGGACTGAGAGGCCGGGGAAATCAGGAAGGTGATTGCTTTGTTTGTAACTGCCACTCAGGCAAATGGGAAGTTAGCTGCCACCTCTGCTTGCTGTGTGTAGCGTGTTAGAGCCACTTGGATGACATCAGTGGATGAAGCCACTTATGTCCATCTCAGACCTGAGCATGAGAGAGTGGAAAACACACACACACACACACACCCAGGCAGGGGAAGAAGTGTGAGACCAGTAGCCATAAAAATGAAACCCACTTACCAAATCAACAAGAGAGAGAATTCAGAACCAGGAGTTGGGAACAAGGATGTAAACCAAGAATAGAAAGAGGCACAAGAAAAATTAAACTGCATTTTCCCACCCATTTACCTCTCATTCCATCTGGAGACATAATATCTGTCATGGTGTACAAAATAAAGTACCTGGTAGTTGGAGAGAGGCTATTCCAAAACCATTATTCAGGTCTGCTGGTGCTTTGAACTTTCAAATGGGCCTCATGTCAGCAATAATGGTCTCTTCTGGACTGACAGTATAGGTGGCAGTGTCCCAGATGAGAGAAGGTGTCTGGGGGGCCGAGGGGCGCCAGGAAGGGGCTCTCACCTGAATGTGAAGAGTGTCCCCATGTCCAGCATTGACAGCAGCTCCGCTTTAGACTTGGGGAAGGAGAGCTGGTAGCGCAGGGTCTCGAACGCGGGGACGATCATTGCTTTCTTGGTGTTGGCGAGATCAAGCTGGATGACAGACTTCCTAAAAAAGAGGGGGCAAGTGAAAAAAAAACAACACAGAGTCCCCATGAAGCCTGGTAAAGCCTTTCCCATAAGGCCAGGGAAGTGCTGGCACAGGGAATACGGGCTGGGGGCAGAAAGTGAGGCCCAGAAGCCTGGCTAGCTTGTAAATGTCACCCAGGATGGTCAAAGTGAGAGCTGCGTCCGCTGAGGTTGAAAGCTTAGTCTTCCTGGAAGGTGAATGGAAGTCAGGGTGGCCAGCAGTGTTGGGGGGTGCCTCCTTACTTTTATTCACTGTACATTGTGTTTCACACATTCTTTCATTAACATTGTATTCCATACAATCTTTTCCATACATTGTGTTTTATAAATTTAATAACCAGCAAACTATGCCTACTGTATCCCATCTTTTCAGGCAGGTCCCCACTGGGTCTTTACTAATTCCTTCACCTCTTCCCTCCGTCCACCAAAGTCTGCAGAGAGCATGCATGCCCCAGCCAGGGAAGAATGCAGAAAGAACCTTTCTAAGATATTCACAGGGTTTGGCTTCTAGTCACCTGAGCTCACTTGGTTTGCCAGACACTGCCTGCCCCATGGAGCTGTTAGGCACAAAGCTGGCAAGTGAAACAGCAATCTAAGTATTTCCAGTGCCATCTCCATGACTCTTCAACCCCCTGGTTCCCAGAGACCCTAAGCCTTTAAGCTGGATAGACTTCCCCATGCAGCTGGCATCCAGTAACAGCTTCGGTACCCACGCTTCCTAGCTGGCAAGTTCTTTATCTGCTGGCCTCCTTCTGCCTTTGCATCTGGCCTTGTGCCCTGCTCCTCCCACACTTGATTCCTGTCTTTCTAGATTTCTCTGCATTTCTCAGCTCAGTGATCATCCTTGAAGCAGGAGGTAGGCTCAGGATGGCATGAGGCATTTAATGCACATAGACTGGATTTGAATCCTGGCCTTACGAGTTGTCATCCCAAACAAACAACTTAGATCTCTCCTCATCAGAATGGTGGAAGTAAGATATACTCCCTGGAGCTGGGGAGATCTAACGAGGTAATCTAAGTGTTTCTTAGCATATCTAGCATACAGCTGGCCTTTATTAATAATCACTACTATAAGCTGATTGGCTGCTTGGATTTAGTTAAGAATCATCTATGGGCTGGAAGCCTCTTGTTTAAGTCAACGAGGAGCTGGTGTGCTTTTGTATTTAAACATTGCTTGCGCCTTTGGGCCTTCATCCCTTAGTTCTGGTGTTGCATGTGTTTGGAGATAACATTGTTCTAAGTAGTATAGCACTCGTCTATCAGTTTGCTGTACTGAGGTAACTTGGGGTTGCTGTGATAATCAATGCTGTGCCACTGGTGTATCAAATGCCACAATGGTTACCCATGGTGGACAGTGTTTGGAGGAGCTTCCAGAGTAAGACAGACTTAGAAGCGGGATTGGCATCCACTTCTTAAATAACAGACCTTTGGAAACTCTGTGAACACTAGAAAAACAATGACACTTACAGAACAGGGTTCAGATCTTTTGTTCATAAAGTTGCTATGAGTCATACTCAACTCAATGCCACTTAATAACAACATCAACTATACTGCAGTGCTACTATTATTCTCTGGCTGGATCCTCTGTGATGTCTTTTGGCCATGGCCTTGGTGCTTCTATTTTGATTTGAACCTTTTTTTTCTTTCTTAACCTTTTGACCCATGGGTCTCATTGTCAGCATGGGCTGTTTGTTGGCAAGCTCTGACAGGAGAAAACAGTCTCTCTTGGGGTGCTGGGAGGTATTTTACAAAATACCAGAAACAGCAGCTTTCTTTTATGATTAGCCTCCGTATTTTTGTGCAGTTCCTCTCTTCACTCAACCAGACTTCCAGCCTGACGCTACAAGGGAGCGGTTAATGCCAGTCCAGGTCAACTGGGTCACACAGAACCAACTCCAAGAAGGTCACTGGCAGGTTTGGTAAGAACAAATGATGACGAAGAATCCAGACTTGGTTAGAATAAGGATGACTCACTGAATTTACAATGGTTTCTGAAGTTGCACTGATTCCCACTGGAGTGGGCGTGGGAATAACATGCACCTGATCTAGGTCTTGGCCTTTCCAATTGCTTCCTATGCATCTGGAAGTTGGGCAATGAATACGGAAGACTGAGAAGAATCAATGCCTTGAAACTATAGTGTGGCAAAGAATACTGACGATATCGTGAACAGTCAAAAGAACAAACACATTCGTCTCCAACAAGGTACAACCAGAATGTTCCTTAGAGGGAAGGATGCTGAAACACTATCTCACTTACTATGGGCATGGAACCAGTCCTTGGAGAGAGACATCAAGCAGGTGAAGGTAGAGGGTTGGGGGGAGAGAAGACCCTCAAAGAGATGGGTTGACACAGTGACTACCATAATGGGCTTGATCAGGACAAATTGGGAGGATGGTACAGGATAGAACAAGGTCTGGATTCCTCTCCCTCTTTGTCCCTCTGATCATAGTTTCCTAGTAACTTACTGTTCTTCTCATCCATAGCCAGTCATCTAATGTCAGAAAGCACATAAGCAAGGATGGTAAGACTTTGTCTTACATGCTTGGTACATGCCATTGTTGTTGATTGCTTTTGAGTTGAGCATGACTCATAGTGACCCTATGAACAAAAGGCCTGAAGCCCCTCTACAACTATCGACTTTTATCAAAGTTCATAGAGTTTCCGGAGGCATGTTGTTTAGGAAGTGGATGCCACTCCTGCTTCCAAACCAGTCACAGAAAGTTATTGGTTGAGTCGCCTGTGATGCATAGTGAACCTATGTACTGCAGCTCTGAACCCTTCCCTGTCCTGAGCCAGTCTCACTAATTCTGACACATCAACCCCCATTGCCCCAGTTACTGTATCAATCCATCTCACTGGGAAGGGTGAATCCCTGGAGGACATCATGCTTGGAAAAGTAGAGGATCGGCAAAGGAAAGGACGACCCTGAACCACACAGAATGACTCAGTGACTGTGGCAATGGACTTGAGCATTGTAGAGACTGTGAAGGATCAGCCCCGGTTTCCACCTGTTGTACACAGGGTCACTATGAGATGGGGTTGACTTGAGGACACTGGAAACAACAGTGACACCCAAGACATGGGCAGCTCCAGGGCTCTGCCAGGAAAGATATGCACCTATCTGTGATTCTGGGTGTCAGGATGAGACACCAAGAAAGCACAGGACTTGGAAGCACCAACGAGGGGTGTGCTCAGCACTAGTAGTGGGTGATGCTGATCCCATAATCACTGAGCCCCGGCTGTGCACCAGGTGCTGTGTGAGGCATGTGGAGACACAGGATGAACAAGGCAGCAGAGTCTCCGTCCCCATGGTGCTTAACCCTTAATGAGGATACCTGCATCTCACTGTTTTAAGGGTAGATAATGACCATTGCACTGGAACAGATGAAAGAAACAACTGTCTAAAATGAATACATGACTAGACATTAAATGTACGACAAGAGCCCAGGACAAGATCACGGCAAAGAGGACTGGGGAGGAGGGGAGGTAAGTAGGTAAACCATGCAACAACGAATAAATATTTAAAAAAAAGTGAACTGAGGGAGAGGGAAGGGAAGAAGAGGGGGTAAAGTGAGCAACAATCAATGAACGAAAATCTAACTTCTCTGTAAATGTTCATTAAAATCACAATCAAAATAAAATTTTATTTAAAAAAAAAGATGTGAGTGTTGTGAATATGAAAGGGGAGATGAGAAATGTTACTACAAAGGGAATGACTGGGCAGTGTGTACACAGACTCACACACACACATACACATGATATAGAACAAAACATATGAAACTTGCTGCTGTCAAGTCTATTCTGAGCCAGAGTGACCTCATCAGACAGGGGAGAAGTGCCTCCTTTGAGTTTCAGGTTGTAAACCTTTATGTGTCATTTGTCTCCCATAGAGTACCTGGTGGGTTTGAACTACATACTTCAGGTTAGCTGTGTGCTAAACCAATGTGCCACCAGGGTTCCCACAGTAGATATAAAACCTAACTTACTGCTCTGGACTCAATCCCAATTCGTGGTGACCCTCTATTGGGGAGGTCTGAGGTTGTAAAAAAGCTTAACAGGGAGCCTATCCAGCTTTCTCCATTGGATCTGCTGGTCTACCATTCTCCCAGGAGCTGCTGCTGCTGGGTTTAAACCCATGACTTCATGGTTAATTCTGGTTCAAATCATGGTTTCCCAATTCTTCCTTTGATTTCAAAAGACATACTTCCCAACTAATTTCTAGTTTTATTCCTTCCCCTTCAATTTTATTTTAACTGGTCGGTGTTGGTTTCTGTTTGATCTTACATAAATCTGTTTTTCTACTTGTGCTCTGGTGGCCTAGTGGATAAGGAGTTGTGCGGCCAACCCAAAGGTAGGCAGTTCAAATCCTCCAGCTGCTCTGTAGAAGAAAAGTGGGTAATCTTCTCTCATGCAATTTACAGCCTCTGAAAACCCACTGGAGGGTCGGCAATGAGTCAGTTCTGACTTAAAGGCAGTGACTGAGTGTGTGATCTCTATTACTGTTAGTGGTGACTTGAGTCTATTATGACTTACAGCAAACTCCTGTTTTAGAGTAGAACTGTGTGCCACAAGTCATCTGCTGTGACCTTTCAAGAGTAAACTACCAGGTCCTTCTTTCAAAGAGCCTAGGAGTGGGTTTGAATTGCTAATCTTCTGATGAGGAGCTGAGCAACTTATGCATTTGTGGCATCCAGGGATTTCTCTCTCTCACACACACACACACACACACACACACACACACACACACGTACGTCTATAGACCACCATAAGCCTTACACAAGGATTTGCACCCCCTCC